CCCTTTAACAACCCATCCACCTGTCCACTAGAAATAAATGTCTCATGTTCAACAGTAGGAAAAATTAATCTCTTCTCTGAACAATCTATTAAAATCCTATTGGCAGAAAGCCAATCCATCCCTAAAATCACATCCAAATCGGATAAAGGTAAACAAAATAAATTCACTTTATAACAATGCCCTTCCACCTCCACTGGACATCTCAAACAAACCTCAGAAGTCAAAACAGACCCTGAAGCTGGGGTAGAAACAACTAGATCCACACACAAGGAACTCACAACTAAATTTAACCTTGCCACGCATTCACAAGAAATAAAAGAATGTGAAGCACCAGAATCAAATAAAATAGAAATATCATTACCATCAGCTTTGCCCTTTCCTTTTACCAGCTCAGATGTCGTTTCAGCTTCAGCACCTGTTAAAGCAAAGACACGACCTGCTGCAGTAGGCCGATCCACTTTCTGGTTCTCTCTAGCTGGAATATTTTTGACATTGCAATCTTTAGCCATGTGACCCACCAAAACACACATAGTTCTTTGTAGGACAGTCCCTCATCATATGTGGGCCTCCACATGTGTAACATCTAACACTCTGAACAGCTCCTGTAGTAGTAGTCCCTATTGATTTCTTATTAGCATTTCCAATTTGAAACTGAGATGGTCTCTTTTGAGGATGTTTCCCCCTCCCAAATCCAGTTGATCCCTTTGTACCTTTTGCCACTCTATTTCCTCCTTCAAATCTCTCAACTGTTTTTGCCTTTTCAACTAAAACTGGGAACTCCACAATCCCCATAGGAACAATAGTCTTTTTCAGCTCATACCTGAAACCCTCACTGAACTTCCTGCATCTCCATGCTTCAGAGATAGCTTGAGAATAGTACCTAGCCAAGTGTTCAAACTTGACCACATACTCTTGTACTAACATAATTTCTTGTTGCAGTCTCAAAAATTCAGCTTCCTTAGCATATCTGGCGCTATCTGGAAAATATTTTTCTAGGAATACATTTTTGAAATTTTCCCAATTTATCGCCTCCCCTCTAGCCTCCATCATAGCTTGAGCACCTTTCCACCAGAAACTAGCCTCACTCACCAACATATAAATAACATAAACTAGCTTTCTCTCCTCAGGACAATGCATCACCATAAAGATTTTCTCCATCTCCTCAATCCACTGATCAGCAACTTCAAGTCCATCAACACTTGTAAATTGAGGAGGATTCCCTTTTCTGGGAGAATAAACCATGAGCCCCCAATCCAATATTGGAATGAGCTCCGTAGTGCCTTAAGAAGGAGGCATATTCCTCCATACTATGATCGAGAGCTTATGGGCAAGCTTCAAAGATTGAACCAAGGATCCTCTAGTGTGGAAGAATATAGGCAATCTATGGAGTTGCTAATGATGAGGGCTGGGATTAGGGAGGAAGAGAGG